CAAAGTCTTGAATTAGCCGGGCTGGTTGGGGCTCAATGTTATCCTTTGTGCCTCGCGTGTTTTGAGTTAAAAATTGTGCTTGGAGGTGAGAGGGCAACCTTTGTCCGCCTGTCAGGGCCATGGAAATCCTGAGGGAGGAGGGGACTGCCCCTTCCGCAAAAGAACGATTACGTATTCCCTGCTCAATGGTTGAAACACTCGTTGTCCACATATTGAAGGGCCCAAGGACCCTTAAATACAAATACCATAAATAAAGGAGGTTGCCGAACAGACCCTAAGTGTCCAACATGTGGTCCGCGGGGACCCCCCCCTTGCATTTTCCCACACGCCCGAAAGCTTGGTTTGGACTGGACCGCCTGAATTTCGCTAACTAGCGACCCGAAGACCTGAAGGTCGACTGAGTTTGGGGCTTAGTCCCTCTCGAACCCACCTATAGCTTGCCATGCATGGGAAAAACCTGTTTCTTTTTTGTGGTCATTGCTCAAGACCCCAGGCCCCTAATTGGAGTGAGTGGAGCCCAAATCCCGGCCGAAGCCCAATTTTGTAGTTGACTGCAAAGGGGCTTCACCCCCATTTACATATATATATATATATATACATATGCAAATACCCCCTACTCCAAATACCCGCTATTTTCAGCATGTTTGATAAAACCTGGCTTTCCATTTCAAAATGGGGTGGGGAGGGGAAGGAAACACAGCCAAAGCCCATGCCCGAAGCTGAGTCTCTGGCTGGGGCGGGGACTTCGGGGCTCTGGAGCCTCGGGATGTCCGGGAACCTTCCCCCAGCTCGGGTCCCATTCGGGCGATGGCCCTAAGGAACCCTGCCAGCTACCCGGTAACGTACTACTTCCATTTGCTTAAGACCCTGGAAACAAATAAACATATGTCCAAGAGATAGATTCCCTTTAAACCCAAGAGGGACAACAACATATTCTTAAGCAAATTGATGCATATACCCCCTTAGGGGTTCCATAATCCAAGCACTCTTTCACATGGCTTTACTTTGGATCAGCAAACAAAAGCTGCTGATTTTCTTGCAGCGCATTGAAAGCGAACAGAGCCGAACAACAGAAGCAAAATAAAATAACATGCCAACAACAGAAGAGAAATCGGGTAACCCCAAAAATGGCTTGCCCCGAATATGTGGTTTAATCTTGGCCCACACCCATTAACCTGGATGGATCTTTGTTGAGGGCACCTCTTGCCGTTTTGGAGGATAAACCCATCATTTGAGGCATCCTTTATTTGTATGGCACACCCACCTCACTTGTGGCCCAAAACAAGTACACAATTTTCCGAACTTCTTCCCTGACAGCTGAAAGCGTTTCAGCCTTTCGCCCAAACAGGCTCCGGAGTGACCAATTCGACGCTTTGGATTGCAACTCAGACAGGCCGAAAGTCGGGCGGGATGTTTGCATGTTTGCCCGCGCCGTTGTCCCAAATCCGAAGTCGACGTTGACAAGAAGCCCAAACAACTCCCAACTGAATTTCCCCGAACCAAAAGCTGCTCAAGGTACCGGTGGCTTCCATTTAAACACCGGTCACTTTTGGGAGGTGCCGGCGGCACTTTGAATGAACCGCGCACCCACCAAGCTTGAGGTGAAAGAGAGGTCACTGGATTCCTTCTGCGAAAGATGATCAATGTACTGTTGGTTTGCCACCAACTTTTGCTCCAAACACCAAAAGAGCCCAAAGTCCAGGAACTCATTTGAGTCACAATCAAGACCCGGTACTAAAATGGCCTACCCGGAACCATGAAAAAATTAAAAAAGGCAGCCGCAGCTATATTTATGGCAAGGGGATTGTCCCTTGCCAACCTTCATCTACCCGAATCGGTTTTGTGCACGTGGCTCATGAGTGAGTTGCCATTCCCTGAAGTCGCAAGAAGCCAACTTCCCTGGTCGGGCACATCGACCAAGAATCGGCGGCTCCGCGACTCCGAGTTCAAAAAGCCAAGGGGCTGCCAAGAAGGCCTTCACCTTTCCCCCCTGGCCGACAGAAGCTCACGTCCCAGCGAGTGGAACTTCAATTTGATTAAGACCCCTGGAAAAACTAAAAAAAAACAAAAGCATAGTGATAGATTCTCTTTAAAACCAACAGGACAATACACAAATATTCTTAAGCAAATGGACGTCCAAATCGAGTGGATGGTCCAAACCAAGTTGCCACCTATAGATAGCCAAGTTGCCGTTTGTTTCAGTCTCTGTTGCTGGTGTTTGGCGTGAAGTAGATAGACACAAAGCAGCAACTGGCGATCCAGGCACACTTTTTGCGTTCCACGAAAATGGTCCAAACCCCAAAAGTGACTAAAAGTCCCTGAACTCAGGAAGTGAGAAAGCAGAGGGGAAAGAGCAGGCCAACTTCCGCAGAAAAAGCGCACGCGATCCGAGAAACAGGCATCTCGCTTCTCGAGATTGACTCAACTATTCCAAAACTGCACCTAAACAAGTTGAAAGTCTGGGGCGTGTCATTGTTTAAAAAAAGGCTTTTCTCACACCAGTGGTCCTTTGGAAAGACTATAGGTCCGTTTCAGGTACCTAGTTTTGACCCACACCCATGTGTGGCTGCAAAGTGCTACGGTCCCAAAACGGAAACACAAAGTTATCCGAGGAGCCACCCTGAGGGGTCCGAAAGTCAGCTCAGGGGCCATCCTGCTAAGCCTCAGTTAGCCCGAGCGCCTGTAAGCTCTAACTAGGATTGCTAACCATATACAAAAAATAAAGTCTAGGTCATTGGATTCTACCCCCAACCCCCCCCATCCCTCGCTCTCTCTCTCTCTCTCTCTCTTTCTCTCTCTTTCTCTCTCTCTCTCTCTCTCTCTCTCTTTCAGCAAAGTTGGCCGCCCGATGTGCCAAGGTTGCACGCAAACCTGGATTCTTCGAACAGCCAAACTCCAGTCGTCCCTAGACCTCAGCATCCAATGGGCCCCAGCCTCGGCCATGAAACCCACTCAGCCCGGCCCTCTGGAGAGGCCCAGGCCGAGGAAAACCTTTGGAGTAGAACTTGAGCCCAGAGACGCCGGCAGCCGAGTGCGGTTGGTGGGCGATTGCTCAAAATGTCAGGATCTAAGCCGCAGGTAGTCCTTGGTTCCAGCATGCTCCGGTTTGGGGCTGCCCTAGGGTTGACCCACAGCCAGGTTTGATGGATACAGGGTGCTTACCCCCAGCAAATTGAGATGAAGCCGGAAAAACCAATCGTCGTTTTCTAAAGTCCTTTTGGGAACGGCCATCCTTTGTGGGTTCCATGCGCATTTTGCGGGTGGTAAATCGCGCACCCCCCCAGTACGCCTCAGACTTTCCCAAGAGACGAGAAATTGCGCCTTCTACTTTCACCCTGGCATAAATAAGTTTGACCCCAAAACAGTTCAGGGTCCAACCAAAAGGCACCCAGGCATATCCTCCATGGTCCACAGTCCCCACTGCAACGAGAGAAGCAACTGAGCAACCCCATGTCGCTTGTTTGGTCAATTTGGTGCACGCCATGTCATCCTACAGTAGATCGTGAAAATGACCCTTGCTCATAGGATAATAAAAGAGGCCATCAAGCCTAAGATTGGGCTCACTACCCCAGAAGGAAAACCAGGCACAAAAACGCGAAACCTGTATCCTCCAAATCCTGAATCAGATGCTCAAAGTGGGACTGTTTCACAGTCTCCCGAGTGAAAAGGGCCAACGTGCAACTGTTTGTTATGAATTATACCTGCAAAACGTGACAATTCTAGGAACTCAGGGAGTCAAAAGATCCAACTGCGCCACCACAAGTGAGTCATGTTTTCTCTATTTAATGAAACCCCCAAGGCTCACTCGTTCTTTTCATTTAAAGGAACCGCCAAGGATGAAGATGGTTGGCCTTCGTTCTATTGGCTCCCCTTTCCAAACCTCCAAACGGAGCTCTAAAAACAATACGCCCCTGTTGCCCGGCTCGCCGGCCTATGGCCTGAGTGACGTGTGGACATCACGCACTCTTTGGGCTGAAAGGGTGTCCGCTGAACGGAACTGGGGAACTCAGCCCTAAGCGTCCAGAGTTGTAGGACTGAGCATGCCCTCACTTTGCCAGGGTCGCCTTTCACTTTGTCAAGCTTCCCACCGTGAAAATCAGAAGAGCTCGTATCAACCTCTGGACGTGTCTAAGTCTGTTCTTTGTGAGTGCTTGTGCTGGTCCGCTTAGGGAGACAAAGGGCGACCACCCGTTGTGAGGGGTTTGCCCCCCGTCCGGTGCAAAATGATTGCAGGGATCCCAGTAGATGGGCCGTCCCAAAGAACCGGGAAGCCCATTTGCGCTGGGGCTTGCACTTTCAGATTCCGATACCTCACTGCAGCGTGGCAAGTTGTTTGCGCAGAGGGTTGGGGCTTCTGTAGCAGGCACTTAGTACACATGGCTATAACTAACTCTCAATGGTTGGTCCTTTTGGTTGCCAAATGCAATGATTGGTTTCCTGTGGGTCCCGTCAAAATCCAACCAAAAGAAGGCCCGAATCCTTCGGAGAACTCGTGCACATCAGCCCTCGCTAAATGGGGGTGCTGGGCATCGCCAAGACTTGGGCGGCACTCAGCCCACTTTGCACCAAAAGGAAAGCCGAAGCCAGTTTTGGGGGGCGGGGGTCCTCAATGTCATGATTTTCTTCGCTCACTGGCCCAGTCTGGGCCCAATGACAGGTGATCAGCTTTTGGGGCCACTAAACATGGACCAAACAAAGGACACCAAAACGAAAGTGCAGGCCGATTTGGGCAACGGTTCTTCATACAAATTCTACCTGGATCGCCAGTTGCTGCTTTTTGTCCATGCACTTTACCCCAAAAAACCAGCAACAGTGACTGAAAAAAGCAGCAACTTGGCTATCTAGGTAGGGCCCTTTGCTTTTTCTCAACTAGGAACCGTTTGGAAGTGCCAGGCCGCACCATGAGGTTGAGGGGTGGGCCATCACTCATGTGACACCAGACCCTTCTCTTTGCCGAACAAAGGGGTAAGGCACACCAAAGGCAAAAAGGCAAGGCAGGGTGGATTGGGACGATTGGGCTGGCCCCCGCTGTTGCTCTGAAGACTTACCTGGGCCCTCCGTACTCCAGAAATCAGTTGTTTTTTGTGATTCTGCTCAGGTAGCCCACCCTAGATGCCAACAACAACAAAAAAAAGTTGTGGAGAAGACCCGCCACTGAACGCAGTTTCCACTTCTCGGGTTCTTTGGCGCTGAGGAACCTGAGTAACCCGCAGGTCAGATCCCCACTCATCAGGGGGTTCCAGACGAGTTTCCCTCCTTAAACATCAACGAGGAGACTCAACGTCATGATCAAAACCCGGTACTAAAATGGTCGTAATCCCAGAAGCATGCTTGAAGAATTAAGAAGGCGGAATGTCGCAGCTATTTATGGTTGGGATTGTCCCTTACTAACCTTCATCTACCCGGGTTTTAATTGTGGCTCAAGTGGCCTTTGCACCTGCCTGAGGGAAACATCAGGAGAGAAATTAATCATTCTTCGGGTTTCCTGTGTTTGTGCCTTTGTTGAAGGTTCCCGGTTGTTGTAGTTTTGCAGAAATGGGCACCAAAACGAAAACCGCCACATATCCGAAAACGCCACACCCATCTGGGTTTGCTACGCGTTTGTCCCAATTTGGGTGTGGTGCGCCATGTTTCGGTTGGTCCCCCGAAAAAAGGACGACACCCGTTCTCAGCAAGTCAGTTGCCCAGTTCGGACCTGAAAGTAAAAGGTGATCATTTGCTTCGGGACATGACGAAAAGATGCAAACAGACATGCCTGGAGTCCCATGACCCTTTACAAAATGGGGTTGCCCAAAACAAAAGGGGTGACCCATTTTCTTGGTTGACGTTAAAAAGAAGGCAACAATTGAGCTTTTGGCAGTTAAGTGCTTGGATTCCAACCACTGAACCGCAATAAGCAAAAATTGGAAAAAATGTCAAACCCAACGACGACCATGCTGACCCATTTTTACAGGGCCGAAGCCGAAGGGCCCACGGCCGCACTCTGCGAGCGACTCTTTTTCTCCGGGGCCGCCGCGAGTTGCCCGGAGGAAACTGGGTGAGGTCCTGGCGCCGAGGGTAGTTTTTTTTCTTCTTTATTTTTGTTCTTCTCAGAGTGCTAGGGGTTGATTCCTTACTAGGGACTATAAAAGTCTAGGGGTTGATTCCTTGTCCATGCTTTTCAACCATTGTTCTGTTCAAAAACCGATCGCTGGTTCCCCACAGTTTTGGGCGGTTGTTTAGAAAGAAGGATGCCTGGAAAGAATGGTGTTGGTGAGCAGTCTACAAACGCTCTTTTCTACTGGGGCGCAGCCGATACAGCTCAAGGCCTGTCAAGACAATCCAGATCAACCCAAGACTCTTAAGTGGTTTCCTCAGCCCCCAAAATTATCTTTGGGTTGACCGTGGATTTCTTCCTATGGTCGCCCTGACGACCAGATGCGAGGTGATCCGCTTCAGCTTCTATTCGAAGCCGGCAGTTCCTCAGCAAAGCAAACATTGGCTCCTCATGAGCGCCGATCATCTTCGTCAGCATGTCTGCCGGGTTGAAGTTGTGGGGCAGCCACCTGATCCTGCCCTGCATCTTCGCGAGGCTCTCCTTGATCACTGCGATCTCGAGAGCGCTGCGGTCGTCTTCTCCCTGCGCCTGCTCTGAGTGTGTGGCGTCGTACACCGACTTGGCGTCGATGATGGCCACCAGGTTCGGGTCAGCGAACCTTGGGTTCTCCGAGGCAATGACCGTGGGGGTCCCGTGAAGACCGCCGTCATCGTCACGTTCAGCGTGCTTTCGAGGGCTGTACCTCGACCACCTCAGAGACTCCAGCATTGCTACCTGCTTCTCCATGGCGCCCAATGCGGTTGCCATGGAAATTGCTTCGCACAGCATGGTCGATCCAGCTTTCCTCCGCAATCTCCGAGAGCGCCATGACATCAAGGAGATAGGTGCAGAGGCTCCCTGGCTCAAGGTGTCATCGGTGATGCCCTGCAACCATCCATGCTGCGGCTTCTGCTTGCCTGACGGGTCATAGGAGCTATCCGCGATCAAGATGTGGCGGATCTTGTCCTCGGGGATGCTGAAAATGCGGAGCACGACATTGTGGCCCTTGATCTTGTTCACCACTCTATTCGCCGGGGTTTGGGAAGCATCCGGCAAGGATGCTCGCGGCTGCGGAAGCGTCAGGTCTGCCCTCACGGGCAATCCAGTTTATGGACGCTATTGTCCCCCGCAGCTGCGTCTCCTCGTTGGCTGTCAACGGAACCTCGCTGGCGTTCTTCTTCAGCGTCTTGTTCTCCAGGATCACCTGCTTGAGGCGGTTCTGGACGTAGTCCTGCATGGAGTGAGTGAATGAGCAGTCTTGCTCCTGTCTGATGCGACGTCCCGCGTAGCCCGTGCCGAGGTCCTCCGACTGCAGTTCCACCGCCTTGCCGAAGCGCAACTTCTCCTCGAGCACTTTCATACGCCGTCGATGTTCTTCATCGCCGGCCTCCAGGACGTCGTCCACTTCAATCACGATGGCTCCTCGAGTGGGAACCTGCCCAGTCCTTCCGGCGAGGATTCGATGGCGAGGATTCGTTTTTTTCAGCGCTGATTCGAGTTGACGAGGATTCGTGTAAAAAACACTTGACGAGGATTCGGGTTGACGTGGATCCGTGTCAACCGACGTGGGTCAGCTGCGCATGCTCGTAGTATATTCGCTGAGTTTTGTTGCATGGCATGACTTTCCATTTCCATATCGCAGATGCCTCGGGCACATCTTCGCATGATATTCGCTTTATATACTGTTGCAGAATCCGCTGGAAACAGAGTTTGTTCAGACGATTAGTTGCGTGACATGTTTTGTCATTAGCACAAAGCGTAGGATGCCTTGGGCTCCTCCTACAGTCTCTATAGCCCGTAAGCAAAAATCAGGAAGCCGCTTGCTCCTAAATGTGCTTGATTGTACGCGAAAAGAAGGTAGTCGCTAGCTCCTGAAAGCTTGCACTTGCGCGCTTTGTGCCCACTTAATCAGTTTCAGACATTTGCATGTTTCACCCCGCTCAAAAAACAAATGGCATTCCTGTTTCCACTCCCAGGCCGCAGCGGTGACGCGCGAAGGAGATGAAAAGAACACTTGCTGCAAGGCGCAAGGCAAGGGCTGTCAGCTCCAAAAGGAGCGCAGGGCTCCTCCTTGTTCCAAAAAGGGGAGAGAGAGAGAGAGAGAGATGACGAGAAAGAAAAAGAAGAGAAAAAGAAGAGAAAGGGAAATATGAAGAGGAAGAGAAAGATAAAAACAACAAGAGAGCGGGAAAGAGAAAGAAGTGAAAAATGCGCAAGAGAAAGAGACAGAGAAAGATGAAGAAAGAAAGATAGAAAGAGAGAGAGAAAGACAAAAAGACAGAAAGAAAGAAAACATAATAAAAAAGAAAGAAAGAAAGACAGAAAGAAAGAAAGAAAGAACGAAATAACGAAAGAAATAAATAAAGAAAGAAATACCTAAACACATAAATAACGAAACAAAGAAGGAACATAAACAACGAAAGGAAGACATAAAGAAAGAAATAACTCAAGAAATAAAAAACACAATGATATAAAGAGATAAACCAATACAGAAAACAATGAAATAAATGAAGAAATAAATGACGAAATAAATCAACAAAAAGAAAGACATGCATAAATAACTATAAATAAAGAAAGACAAACATAAATACCTAAAGAAAGAAAACATAAATAAATAAATCAAGACATGAATTTAGAAAGCAAGGAATAACAAGACAAAGAGAAAGAGAGAAGGAGAGAAGGAGAGAAAGAGGCAAAGAGAGAAAGATAAAGAGATAAAGATTGCAAGAGAGCAAGAGAGAAAGAGAAAGAACATGACAAATAAAAAGACAATGAGAAAGAGAGAAACAAAGACAAAGACAAAGTGAGATAAAGAGAGAAAGAGAGAGAGAGAGAGAAAGAGAGAGAGAGAGAGAGAAAAACAGAGAAGGGGAAAACAAGCCTGCTGCAAACTATCGTTCTTCTAGTTTTGAAACGTCTGCCAACCGGCTTCGCCGGCTTCACGGGTGTACAAACTGTTCCCTTTCTTTTACTTTTGTCTTTGGTTGATGTTTGGTACTTGGACCAAGCCCTGGGACCCTCCCATTTCCCCAGCATTGCCCTGAGATTGCTTGCGGTGTCTCTCCTGTTTTTGTTCCTTCGCTTGATGTTGATTTTCTTTGTGCCTTTGCAGGCGTCACCTGGCCAACATGTCGCAGTTATGTTCAAAACACTTTTCATCACCTTTGCTTTCCCTTTTCTCATGGGAACTTTGTTATCTTCATTGCGTTTGCCTTCTTTGGGTTTGGTGGCGTGGAAATTTATGAAAACATGATGAACCAGAAAAAAATGGGTTGCTGGCTTTCAATTGGTCCATTGGCCAGGGTGGATGGTGCTGGAATTATGCCAGATAGTATGAACATATTTTTTGCAGGCGTCCCACTTAAAACATGATATGGGTCAACTTGTTTTTGCAAATTTTGATCAACGATGCGTTGGATCAAAATTGATCACAAATGAATTGCTGGGAAGCACGTGGAATTGAGAGCGAACCCCAAACATGGAACGCTAACTAGTTTTCCCTGTGTGGTTGCGAGTTCTAGGGCAAATCATGTTGGGCCATCTTAATTGAAATCAAAACCCCTCGAAAAGAGGGTGTCAACCCCTCGAAAAGAGGGTGTCAACCCCTCGAAAAGAGGGTGTCACCCACGAGTAACCGCGACTCCTTGGGAAGAGGGTGTCACTCTTGGCCCAAAACCCCTTGAGAAAAGGGTGCCATCCATGATAATTATTTTGTCGAAATACTTTAACACATAAAAACATGTAGTCACCAATTTGTCTGACACAAGTTTGGGCTGCAAAATGTTGAGACCACAGAAAGTTGTAGTCCAAATATGTTCCTTAATTGTATTGCATTTGTCAAAAGATGTTCAACTATCCCAAATTGTAATTACCAACTTATTTGTCAAGCATTTGGCCTGCAAATGCTTGAGGCCGCCGCACATGTGTAGTCCAAATATGTTCCTTAAATAACAAGTTGCTGTCAATTCTTTGGCCCGCAAATGTTTGAGGCCACAAGAGGCTATAACCCCGGATTGTCCCTTTCTCTATTTTTGAATTTGTTGGCCCACAAAAATGTGTAGTTACCAATCCCTTTTGTCATACATTTGGCCTGCAACATGTTGAGGTCACAGCGCATTGTGGTCCAGAGATGTTCCTTACCCGTACTTTGGACATATGTTGGCCCATAGACATGTAGTCACATGTTTTGTCAAGTTTTTGGCCTGCTAACTTTTGAGGCCACAGGAAGTTGCAGTCCAACAAATGCTCAATGTCAAGCATTTGGCCTGCAAATGTTCGAGGCCGCCGTAAATTTGTAGTCCAAATATCGTCCTTAATTCAACAATTGCAGTCACCAATTTGTTTGTCAAAGCTTTGGCCTGCATATGTTTGAGGCCGCAAGAGACTGTAACTCCGTTTTGTTTTTGGAATTTGCTGGCACATAAAATTGTGTAGTTTCCAATTTCTTGTGTCATACATTTGGCCTGCAACATGTTGAGGTCACAGCGCATTGTAGTCCGGAGATGTTCCTTAACTATACTTTCAACATATGTAGGCACATAAACATGCAGTTACATGTTCTGTCACATATTTGGCCTGCAAACCCTTTGAGGCCACAGGAAGTTGTAGTCCAACTATGTTCCCAATTGAACGGTCAAATCCTTGGCTTTGAAATGTTTGAGGCCACAAGAAACTGTAACCCAGGAATGTCCCTTTCTTTTCTTAAATTTGTTGGCCCATGAAATTGTGTAGTCACCAATGTCCTTTGTCATACATTTGGTCTGCAAAATGTTGAGGCCACAGGAAACTGTAGTCCAGAGATGTTCCTTAACTATACCTTCAACATATGCTGGCCCATACACATGTAGTCACATGGTTTGTCATATAGTTGGCCTGCAAACGCATCCCAGAAATTCCCTTCTGTCAAATATGTGGCCTTCAACAGGTTGAGCCCACAGGAAATTGTAATCCAGGGATGTCCCTAAATTAT